TACTCATTATATTAACCATATATATTAAAATTAATAAATGTTAATGTTCACTGAGCAGCAAGTAGGTTGTGTTTATTACTGTAAAAGGAAAACCATCTCACAATTGAGTAACACCTTACATGTAGCTTACAATGGAAAATTTTCTTTTGAGTCACAGCCCTCACCAAAGTAAGGCAGCTTTCCTTCTTCCTTAACCATAATTCTATCTTCTGTTCTTCCTCTCTACCCTTAGGTTTGATGAATAGTCACATTTTTGTGTTTTGTTTTATGTGCATTACTTCTTGAACTTTAGGAAGCTAAAATTGCTACTTAATGAGAAAGAGAGGTAGATAATTTTTCAGATGTGGATTTTGGATTCTAGTATTCTGAGTTTCTGGGGCTCAAACATGCCACATATGCATTCTATTCCAGAAGCTCTAGCAGGGAATGAAAGAATATGGAATTTCCTGGTGGTTGAAACCCCTCATGAAGAAACTGCTTTTAGTTTTAGACTACTACATACTTGATTTGCTGCTCTTTGCCTGTCTAAATAGAGATTTTTAATTCGGGTTTTAATTACTTCCTTGTCCTGAAAAATAGTTACATGTAATATGAAGCCCCTCTTAGTTTGATAACTTTCCAGCAGTTAACCAATTAAGGTCAACAATGTTTTAGAAAGTGAATGAACAAATGAGTGAATAACTAGACAGAGTCCCTTAAGGTATTTCTGTTGCATGCTTTATTGTTTACAATGAGCCTTGTAATATCTAAGGTTTTGCCTCTTTTCAGCTACTTTTTTTTTTCTTTTTAGCATGGTTTCCAAGCACTGTCACAAACTCTTTGGTTCTTTCAAAGCTAAACTCTTAATTTCTTTCTTAAAATGTTCATTTTTATTAAAGTACTATATAACATTGTATATTAAGTTTGGCAAATGTTAATGCTCCTTCTCAATTAGGAGAGGTGTATTCCTGAGAAGGTGCCAATTTGAATTGAGTATATTTGAATTTAGTATGTGAACTAAACTGTAATTTTTTAAAGCTCACCCATCCATCATATGGGTGATGGAGTGCCAACTGGTTTTATATGTAAGTGTTTTGTTTTGCTTTTCTAGCAATATTTAAACATTAGAAAATGATTTCCTATTCTAACAATGAGAAATTCATATGAATTTACTTACAGGACCCCCTTGTCAGTTATTTAGGCTGCCTAGAATTTAAATTGGCAGATACTACTTTGGTATAAAATGCTTTCTATTGACAATATTAATATTTTAAAATCTGTTTTACTCCTGCAGATTTCCTGTAGACAGGAAGCCTAGTTCTGTTTACCCTTTGGCTACTAATGAATGCTACTGAGTTATTACTTATCATCTTTAGGTAGAGGTACCACAGGTATGAGATCAGAATTGCCAGGTAAGGCAAGCATTTAATTGTAAAATTTGAAAACGAATCCATGCAAAGGTGACAACTAAAGTGTAGATACTAGAAAGAATTTTGGACTTCAGTAAGAAAATCTTGGTCGTACCCCTACCCTTGTCATTAACTTAGCTGGGTCACCTTGAGCAAGTCACTACCCAACTCCAGATTGCAATATTCTCTCTAAAAGCACAATTTCAGCATAGCATATTCTAAAGAGAGCTTGGTTAAGGAAAGCTGAATCTTGTTGTTTATCAGCTATCCACACCAGCCTGCCAGCTCTGAGGTCAGTCTCCAGCTGCATTTTCATCTTTTTGTAATCCCTTAAATCCTTGCTAGGCTTTCATTGCTAGTTAATTTCCCTAGAAATTTACATTTAGAGACATTGAGGGCTTCCTGCATTTGGAATTTTTCTGTGTTCATAAGTTTAATGAAAAAGTACTTAGAGCTGGCTAAAAAAAATGCAAGAGTCAAAAGTCTTGTTTAAATGTCTCTGTAAAATCAAACTATTTCCATCATGACTAATATACCTTTACTCTTTCAGAGCTTTGAAATCAGTATCTTCGAATCTTGACATGATGAGGCACTATTGTCATTTTATCCCATTAATTGTTCTAGCATTTTCCCACTAACTCCTTGTTCTAAACATTCTTTTTTTTTTTTTCTTAAGCCTAGAATGATTGAACAACAAGGCTTCATGTCACGAGAAAAGCATTGTAGCCTTATCCTCACTTATATTTTAAGTATTTGAAAATTTCATTGATTTGAAATACTTTGAATTGCACTGAGTTAAACTTACCTTTAATTGATCTGCTAGGAAACAAACTAAACAAAATGATAACTTGCCTCAAAATATTGCGAAATTAACTGTATAGCTACTTCAGCATGTGTCTTTTTTAAATGAAAAAGCCAGAGCTAGGTACAAAAAGTGCTTCATTAAAGGAGGTCTAGCACTGTATTCAAAAGGTCAAACAGCAACAAACATTGGTGAGGACATGGAGAAACTGGAATTCATACATTGCTGCTGGGAAAGTAGAATCATGCAGCCATTGTGAGAAATAGTTTGTTGGTTCCTCAAAAAGTTAAAGGTAGAATTACCTTTATGATCCAGCAGTTCCACCCTTAGCTATCTACCCAAGAGAAACGAAAACATACACCCACATTAAAACTTATACATCAGTGTCCCTAGCAGCATTATTCATAATAGCCAAAAAGTGCAAATAGCCCAAATGTCCATCGACCCATGAATAGGTAACAAAACATACAAGGAAATATTATTAGGCAATGAAAAGAATGAAGTACTGATACATGCTACAACATGGACGAAATATCTAAAATATGCTGAGTGAAAGAAGCCAGACACTAAAGGCAACGTATTGTATGATTTCATTTATACAGAATATCCAGAATAGGCAAATCCATGGAAACAAAGTAGATTAATGGTTTCCAGGAGCTGGGAGTGGTGCTAATACGCAATGACTGCTATTGGGTATACAGATTCTTTCAAGGATAATGAATATGTCCTAATATTGAGTAATGGTGATGGTTGTACAACTGTGAATATACTAAAAGGCATGGGTGAATTTTGTGGTATGTGAATTATATCTCAATAAAACTGTTATGTATTAAAAACATTAGTGATTGTATTACTGTAACTATTTGAAATTATAAAAGTATATTTAAATTATATTTTATACCAGGATTAGGGGAGGGGGAAATGGGGAGTTAGTATTTGATAGGTACAGAGTTTCAGTTTGGAAAGATGAAAAAGATCTGGAGATGGAAGGTAGTGATAGATGCACTACAAATATATTTAATTTTACAGAACTATATACTTATACCAATGATTAAAATATTAATGTTATGTATATTTTACCATAATAAAAATCCATAACTCCCTAAAATTACATTTAATATTATTCTAATGAATAACGTGTCCTTTCCTCTCTTTTTCTTCTTTTAACAGTAAAACTGAAAATGTGATTGGCCTTTTGTTTTTTATGCATACAATTCTTCGGGTCTCTGTTTTAGAACTTCTTTCCTGTATGTGGAGGGGGTGGTGGGATACATACACACATGTCTTTATCTTGGATTTAAATGAGAACTTGGAAGTATTTTTTAAAACTTTTATTTGTCAGTAGAAAAATAAAAGAAGCCAAACCATAGGGAATTTACGTCATCGAATTATAAAATAGTGAAATGCTGTTTTCAGAGTATGAATTATCACAAATTTCTTGATTTTCTTGGTTAATATTGGCTTCTTGAATGGGAAAAACATTTATACTTTTGTACATATATAACATCTCTATATCGTCCTATAAGCATTTTCCTTCGTATAGCAGGATAAAATGAGCACCAAAGTGCATTGCAAATATACAAACGCAGTGAGTGAGCTTCAAAATGCAAACAGAGATGGGAAAATGAAAAAAAGAAAATTCAGCAATGAGAAAATCACTGGAAAATGAATTAAATTATTTTCAAGGCTATGGAGCTATGTTATGACCCAAGCAGTTTGTAGAGTCTGAGTTTGTAACCTCTGAGGATTAATCTGTGAAAGTATTTCTAAGCCTGGCTACTATCTAGGGCGCTTGAAGATGGATATCATGAATGCCAGTAGTGCCATTAATATAGTAGGCAATCAGAGGTATGTTTGTTTTTCCTGATGAGGAAGTGGTTTCTTTTAAAAGTACAAGGAACTCTGTGTGTGTGTGTGTGTGTGTGTGTGTGTGTGTGTGTGTGTGTGTGTAGTTTCTGTTCCACTGCAGGAAGAATTATGGTTTTTCCACATTTTACAGTGGGGTTTTTCTAGAGTTTGGCACTATGATATACTATACTTGATTATAGGATCCAATCAGAGTTGATGCACTCAGAAGTTCATTGACGTGATTAATGGTCTCCTAATCATACTTTTATTTCCTAGATTAGCCTTATTTCCTGTAGTTCCACAATTTTTGAGTCATATGTTAAATTATCCTTTATAGGGGGCCTGAAATTCTTATTTTTAGTCTATAATTTGCATGATTATTTCCATTTTCTTTTTTTTTATTTCTTGAAGAAAATGAAATTTTCATCTTCCTTTGAATTCTTTGAGTACTGTTCTATGGTGACTGGCTTACCTAGTATAATCTTTTTAAAAACAATATTTTGTGTGTGTGTGTGTGTGCACTTACATGTATATGTAAACACACACACACACACACACATAATTTATTTTTACTGCCACCAGCACTGGATCCTGAAATCTTCCTACAAGTTTCCACTAGTCTAGTTTTTATTGTTTTCAAAAGCAAAATAAAACATTCTTAGATTGTACAAGTAGCAGGGAAAGACACCAGGAAATGGCTGCACAGGAAATGTAACTGATCATTCACTCTTTACAATTGAAGCGGTCACAAGATTGGCTAGCAAACACAATCTATTTAATGAAAAACCAAAGGTGACTTCTAAAATCTCTGGGGACTTTGAATACATTTGAAGCTTATTGATACCTTTGACATCTTACTGATTCTTTTTGAAACTCTTACCTTTTTCAAATAATTGTTTGTATTTGAAATTTGGAACTTTAATATCCAGTGATTGCTTTAATATTTGCTTTGTTTTTACCAGTGCCCTTAAAGATAGCCGTTTTCCCCCAATGACAAGGGATGAGCTGCCACGGCTTTTCTGCTCAGTGTCTCTGCTCACTAACTTTGAAGATGTCTGTGATTATTTGGACTGGGAGGTAAGATTATAGAAAAATTTTTAAAGAAAAATGAAGGTAACTCTTGAGTAGATGTTAAAAATTAGGCCCAGAAAATAACTTTTTCAGCCCACTGTTGTAATGGAGGTCAAGAGTAATATGGATAAATAAACCTCACAATTGAAATATGAGATATAAGTAAATGAGTTTTTAAAAGACAAAGTGTCACGTGTTGTTATAATCCCCAGACTGAATTTGGTTTTCATTTTTATCCTACTACCTCACCAAAGCACCTCATAAAATCTGTTAATAAGTAGTAAGAAGGACTGATTGGAATTTATTTCTGCTCTTATTTTCATTTTGGTGAACTCTGGTATAACCGCCACCAACTAGTTATTTTCATTTTGGTGAACTCTGGTATAGCTGCCACCAACTAGTTATTTTCATTTTGATGCACTCTGGTATAACTACCACCAACTATGTAACTAGTTGGTCAGAGGATACATCTCAGAAACAAGAAGAAATAGTTAGTTAGGATAATATACCATTTGGCAGAATCAGCTTGTGATAATAACAAGGTATTGATTAACTAGAGTTAAATAATGTGAATTCATTCTTGGCTACATTACTTTATACATTTAAACACCCTAACAATATTAAGGTTATATCTAGGGTATCTCTGTGTATTGCTATTATTAGAGTAGCTTATAATGATCATATTTGTATTCTTCTTTAGCATGTGGGGTTGGCTAACATTGTTAATGAAGTTCAAAGATTCTCACCATGCTTTGCTTTGGTGGCTGGGAGGAGATATTGAGTGTGGGTCTGTGGGTCTATGAAATTTTAACACAAGCACACCCATATTACTGAATGCCCGTTGTACTCCAGGCAATGTGCTACATATACAAAAGTGGTAAGATTCGGTTCCCACCATGAAGCATCTCATAATTTAGTAGCAGAGTAAATGTGTATAGAATGTATGAAGAAATAAGTGCTATGAGAATGAAACAATAGGAACTCAGTGATAAATACAGCACTCTGTCTCACACATACACTCATAAATGGCATTATTGTATCCTTATGACAGATTTTAATTCTACTGCTGTTTTAGACGACCATCCCCCATAGTAACTGAACTGTTCTGCCTTGGGGATAGATCACTCTCTTCACAGTTTATTAGACTTGAATTTAATTTTGGATTTGCCCTGATTCCTTGTGAGACTTTGAACAATTTGCTAACTCCACTGCAATTCAGTTTTCTAATATACAGAATAAGACATTTATAATGTTCTTCATTTGAAAAAAAAATTCTATGATATAAATTATTGTTGTTATACCAGAGCTATTCAAAAAATTTTGGAGAGTGTCATAAAAAAGATCTTTTCTACAGAGAGTACAATGCAAGAGTCCCCTCTGGGTTTTGTGATAAGATTATCTGGAGTATTATCAGAATATGAACACATCTTATGATTTTTGCAAAAGAAGAAATAAAATAAATTTATACTGTCGTTCCCAGCAAAGTTGGAATGTGGAAAACCTTTTGTAAACTTGAAATGTCTCTTATTATTTCTATAAGTTTGTTGTTCTTATTTGATATTTCTTAAAGAGAAGTCTACAAATACTATAGAAATATTCCCTAGTACTTTATTTTTAAGTGGTCCCAAATCATGTTCCTTACTTATTAACATATTTTATAATTCGGATGGTTCTTTTACTGCTTTAAGGCTGCTGTTTCTTCTTCCGCAGCCAGATTTACTTTTGCTTTCTGGATTGCAGGGTGTTGTGTATGTAGTAGTGGGGGTGGGAGTGATTATATGGGGAAAGCCTGAGATCTAAGGGGGATGAGCAAGCTGCAAGAACACTTCTACTCTTGCAGCTACTGAGTTGGAAGTACGGTTCTGGCATGTGTGTTTCTGTGTGTGTGCATGTGTGTATGTCACAAACATGAACATACTAGTATTAAATGTGTGTGCATGTGTTTTGGGGGAAGAAAAAGGGAAGAATCCAACAGCTGTTACATAGGGATGGTTAAGCACCGAGTACACCATCATCATCTTTAGCCCACTTAAAGCACCGTCTACAGCTAAAATCAACCTTGATATTATTGGGCTATTATATCCGTTAAGATATGTCAGCTTTTTGTTTGTTAGAAGAGTGGGAAGTAGTACTGTGTACGCTACTATATACTTAAGAAGTACTACTGTGTATTCTACTGTATACTCTTTCAAGGCATATTTATCCTCTTTGGTCACCAGCTGCTAGCCTGAATTTCTAGAAGATTCTATACCGTTCCTACTTGGTATTGTGTATTTAATATATTTTAGGGAATTAAATATTAATTTCTATTAAGTATTACTTCCCTGTTGAAGCAAAAAATATACATTTTTGTACTTTTAATATACAAGCATTTGAAAGTGAATTAGTTATTGTTAGAATGACTATGCTAAGAGGAAAACCTTGTCCTTTTCAGTTAGTTCATCATTGTTTCAAGTATTTTGCAGAAGGCAAATTTGGGTACAAAGAGTAAAGGTAGAAATTATATTTTTAAGCACAATAATGGGATTTGGTCTTTAAAAAAAATGTACCTTACTCAGTGATTGAAAATAGAGTAATAGTATTGTAGGAATGATAGTCTGAGGGTTATCCCTAATGATTCTGAAAAAGCATTACTACTTTAAACACAGAATGCCAAAACAGAATTAAAGGCATTAAAAATTATATGTTGACACAATTTCACTTCTAGGTATATACCCAAAAGAATTGAAAAGAAGTGTTGAAACAAAAAATTGTACATGAATGTTCATAGTAGTACTGTTCACAATAGCCAGAAGGTAGAAACAACCCAAATGTTTATCAACAGATGAATGGATGAATAGAATATGGTATATTCATGCAATTATTACTCAGCCATAAAAAGAAATGAACTACATGCTACAACATGAATGAACCATGAACACATTATGCTAAGTGAAAGAAGTGAAACATAGCCACATTCGCTATAACTCCATTTATATGAGATATCCAGAATGAGCAAATCCATAGAGATAGAAAGCAGATTGTTGCTAGGGGCAAGGGCGAAGGGTAAATGGGAAGTGAGTACTTAATGGGTACAGCATTGCCTTTTGGAGTGATGAGAAAGTTCTGGAACTAGATAGTGGTGGTGGTTGTACAACATTGTGAATGTATTTAATACCACTGAATTGTACACTTTAAAATTGTTAAAATTGCAAATTTTATGTTATGTGTATTTTACTACAATAAAAATGGAAAATAAACTTTATATACTCTATTCTTATTAGTAATTTTAATTTATCAAAGGAGAAAATTTTTTAAATTAAAAAAGTATAATGAGAAAAATGTAAGTCATTTATAATTACATCATTCTGAGAATAACTACTGTTAACATTTTGGAATATTTCTTTCCATTATCTTTTTTATATTAAGTCTTTTAAAAATGTTTTTCCCATTCTTTATCTGTCTTTGTATCAATAAATCTGCATATTTGGTTACATAACTGAAATCATATTGCATATACAATTATTATTTAAAAGATTGAAGAGAAGTCTTTGTTTATGGTTTATCTTTGTGTAAGTTAATTATATTTTGCATTTCCTTTTTGAGAAGCCAGTGTATCTTATGAAAGTATATGCTTCACGAGAAATTTCACACTAATAGCTACAACTTCTCGTCCAACAATTAAATATCCTATTCACCATAAGTATGCAATTTTGACCTGAAATGTGAAGTCCTGTGTATGTTTATGCCACAGGGGAAAAAAAGAAGATTGATTATTATGGAATTATAATACAGATTTTTAAAGTCAAAGATAGATAATGAGCATGTTTTATACAAACAGAAGCTTCTAACATAGTGCTTTTCTGGTGGAAGTACAGTTTGAGAGTTGACCCCCACTGGTTACTGCAGTGGAATTCCTAATTAAACGGATGAAAATGCCCAGATCAAAGCAGGAAGAGGGCAAAGTCTAGAAGCCCCAAAGCACAGAGGTACATACCTTCACTGACAAGACAAACATCCCTGTGGTCATGAGGATGAGGAATGTGACCATGACCAGTAGTAATAGCCACCTAATTTTCAGATGATCAGGAAACAAATGAATTGCCATGAATCTGGCTACCATCTTACTATCTTTTTCACTCAGGGTTTTTAACTCAGTCTATTTGGGAACTTTCTTTTGATACCATGTCTCTAATTTTATATAGATAGTTATTAGGAAAGTAGGATTTACTTTAGACCTTGTTTTAGGAGCTAGACTGCTTCTGTTTGATAATGTGGGGGATGTTTGATAAATGGGTTTACAAGTAGATGTAATTAATTTCAAGTCAATATTGAATTGACAGACTAATCTATAATGCTTCCATATGTTGTATTTCCTCAGAATCATAATTATAACATTTAAAGTTAAGTGTTTATAGGTAGCCTCTGGAGGAATCTGGGTAGTCATTAAAAATAACAGCCATCCGCAAAAGGTAGTAAGGACATATTAGAGCAGTGGCCACACCCTTCCAAGAATCACTGATCACTGCCCACATCATGATCTACTTATTGCCCTGGTAGGTATGAAAAGGATGAAGAGTTAATAATTTGGGGAGAAATTTCATTAACTGATAAATTGGAATATCTACCTGCAAGGCTAAGATGGTTGTTAAATAAGGAAAATTGCTCCCCTAGAGAAATCTGACATGATATGCCTTGTGTTTGAACACAGAAACTCATCACCATTGTTCTGTGTTCTTCAGACAGCATTCTCTTAATTCTGAATGACAGGGTGATTGACAGACATGGTGCTTTATAAAGAACGAAAAACTCATGTAGCATGTTGGAGCCTGCCAAAATGACATAGCCTGGAACTTGTAGAGTTAAACTTTTAGGAGCCATGTTTCCTTTTTTAAAAATATGAAAGGTTATAAAACCAGACATTACAATGGACTGGAGCTTGACTTGAGGGCTGATTCTATATGTGTCACCTCATAGCTGCTCATTTTCAGGATGATATACATGAATAAATGTTTTGTTTGTAGAAG